CACACACACACACACACACACACACACACACACACACACACACACACACACACACACACACACACACACACACACACACACACACACACACACACACACACACACACACACACACACACACACACACACACACACACACACACACAGAGGCGCTATTTATTTTTACTGTTCATTCTTATTTTGATCCTCTCTTTTCTAACAGGCAAATTCAGCATCTGGTGGAGCTATGAGAGATGGCTGTCCATGTCCACAATGACAACTGTTGCCTTTGATTGGTGGTAAGGTGCGTAGCTGCATCTCCTTGGATGGTGCATGGTGTAACCGACAATGATGTGATGGCTTGAGCAAACACAAGGAGAGCTATGGCCGTCGTTTGGGCGACACTCATCGTGCAACGATACGTGAGGTCGATTGACCAGCACGTGGGGCTGAACGATGACGACTGTATGTCAACAACGGCAAAGCGGGCAAGAAGCTAACCAGCAGCACCAACGACAACAGCAAGAAGGAGGATGGGATTCGAAGATGAGGGAACTAGGCTTTGGGGTTCAGAACAAGAAGGATATTCACGAGAACGATAGAGCGGCAACATGCCAGGTCAACTGGTCAAGGCAGAGAAGCAAGCAAAAGGGCTTGGCTCTGCTCATAGCGTGGTGTTCAAACGACTGCCACGCTGCAGCGGTCGAAGAATCTACGCATGCAAGCAATACGGTGAGCCCATGGGCACGGATCGCAGAGGCCGAGCCAAGGAACATCTACGCTGTTGCGATAGCGTATACACCCGCACCTCTTCGCGGTAGGTGGTATTGAGCTCGCCATTGGCGTTGCGGTTCTGAGGATGCAACCGCGCTGTGTCCACATTACGGGAGAAACCTGAGGCAGCCTGACGACCAGTCAGCTGCTGAGCCCTTGTGTGAAGGGCCGCCAAATGCAGCTGCTGCAGGTGATGCTTATCGTCATGCAGCGTTTCTGTCAGTCTATTGCACCAAAGCAGAAAAAGACAAATCAACGGGGAACATGCCTCGTGAGATGTTGTGCAAAGGTGATCGGCTTGACGGCTGCACAAGGAAGAGACATGGGTGGCTTGAGGGCGTTCTTCGGACGGCATAAACGTACGTCGTGTGCAGTTGAGGCGCAGTGCGGAAGGAGTATTCAGCCGGATCCGTCCGCGCCAAACGCGGAGTGGCCGGAAGATCCAGCGGCACCGTAGTGCCGTACAACTAAGCAAAGACCAAGGCAGGCGTCATTTGTCAATCAAGACGCGAGTCAACCGACACGTAGGGAAGGCGAAACACGAGCTTATGCCCGGATGACAAAAGCCCAAAGTCGTCAGAATGGCAGTGCCACTGGTTGTCAACGAACCGAAGTGCGCGAATCAGGTAGAAAGTAAGGCCGGGGGCGGTTTCCGTAGACAAAGGGAGAATGGTTGGCAGTGGCTCGCACGCGCGTGTCGGTGGCAGGTAGGCGAACGGCCTTTTCATAAGAGCTTCGGAGAGTGTCATGCGTCTCAGACGGCTGAATGTTAGACCGTGACATCTACAATGAGGCAAGATCATCAATCAGAGGAGACAAGCGTCAAACAAGTGCGTAAGTTTGAAGAGAACAGCCAACTGAATTGACGGCCACTGGGATTGAATTGGGTGAGACGAGGGGCAGTGACAGGGCGCACCTGGCCACTGTAGGCTCGAAGCGTAAAATCGCCACCAAGAGGCGCATGCAAGCTGGTGTTGTGCGTGTGCCCTGTGTCACAGCTGCGTGTTGTGCCTGTGACGTGTGTAAATGAGCATCAGGCGACAGTAAAGGCTCTCGGGCCGTGAGGGCTACAAGAGCACCAGCTTGCGAGCAGATGTGATGAAGCATGCCTGGTCGTGAGATGGCCGTGGGAAGGAGGGGCCTGGCCTGATACTGCTGGCGGGCTTCCGTGTCCGTTGCGAGCGTAGGGGCCTAGTATTTTTGACGCACAGCGACAAACCCCGAGACAGGGTGAGGCTTGAGAAGCACGCGGTGGTTGCCAAAAGCACTCAGAAGATGCTCTACCTCGCGATGCGACGGCAGTGTTGAGTGGCGGGACAAGCTGTAGCCGCTCACACCCGATCCAACAGTGACAGGCCGGGGTAGGGACACATGGCCTGATGACTGGGTTGTCCAGAGGCAACGTTGGGGCATCCGCAATAGTGGAACGGGGGTGAGACTGCAAGGTTGGCTGCGTCGGACTGATATGCCAGAGTCACGACTGACCCGGCGGCGTGCGCGGAAATGGCGTTCGGTGGGGTCGTCAAGACTGCGCGAGAGACGATCGGTGGCATAATCGCGGCGCCTGCCAATGACGAGCGACGTAAGATGAGGGCAGGCGGGCGCTGATAAAGACGGGAGGGAAGGAGGTTGTTTGAGTATTGCATGTCGGTGCAAAACGCAAAAGTCTGTTGGATGATCACTTGACGGCATGTTCTACCGCAAGGCTCATGCAAGGCAATCGTACGTTCGAGTGCTGTAGGTGAGCTCGGGCCCCACGAGGCGGGCCAAAGCCGGGTCATCCCGGTCGATGGCAGCGCTGTAAGAGATGTAGGGGCGCTCGTTGCGGGAGAAACCCGTGTCTGGGCGTGGGGCGACCGGAGCACGGCTGGATGCTATTTCCCTGGCCGCGTGCTCCAAAAGCTAGGCATAGCACGATGATGCAACCGCCAACACGCAATGGAGGCAAGGGTGAGTGAGCTGAGCGGGGCGGTGCAGACCGGGTCGGGGATCTGGCACGTCAACGGCAGCAAGAAAAGCGCACATGGCTGTTGGCACGGGAGTACGAGGTTGAGAATCGGTTAATGGGGTCGGGGTCAGCGCCGCGCAATGTCCGAACGGGGTCCATGGCCGCCATGGTGCAGTTTTGCCCTGGCTCCGAAACGGAAATGACGAGAAGTTACACTTGCAGGGATGAGCCACTGAGGCCGGACCCAGCCAAGAAGCGGTTGTTGTTGTTGTTGCTTTTCTTGGTTATTTCTGTTAATTTTTCAACCAACAAGCAAAAGCGTGCAACACCGGCCGTCCAGTCGGAGCACGGTCGCGGCTCAAACAGAGGCGTTTGGAGGAACGGCGGCTGTCGCCGAAGGCTGCGCCTCGCACGCACGCACGCGTTTCCCCGTTGCCAAGGCGCAGGCAAATGAATGCTAAAGACGAATGGAGTGATGATGAACAAATTATACAGTAGGCGAATGGAGTGAATGGTGCTACATCATTGAATTGTCAGCATGTTCTTACCGCCTTTATGAACGTCACTTGATTCTGCACCCTTGGATGTTGCGTTTCAGGGTTGTATAGTTTATCAAGCAAAAGTGCTTTGATATCAATACAAAAAACGGGATGTGGGACTTGTTTCTGTCAAACGAAGACATCGTGTTTGGGGCCTATGTAGACTTGTCCTATGGTGACATGCGCACCACAATAGGACATCCGATGTACCTTCGCTGTGCGATCGCGCGAAGGAACAAAGGCACCATCTGTATTGATGTGGGTGCTGTGTGCATCACAACAGCCAAAGCTAAAGGATTTTACTTTGCGCTGTCCACTTACACAACACCATGCTTGCTAAGAAGAAAAAAAAACATCAACAACAGCACACACACACACACACACACTCTCTCTCTCTCTCTCTCTCTCTCTCTCTTTTCTCTCTCTCTCGTAGTTGTGCTCTTCCTTTGTGTCTTTGCTCTTTACTTCTCTCTTTCTCAAACCGACCAAACCAATTCATCTCTCTCTCTCTCTCTCTCTCTCTCTCTTTCTCTTCATCTCTCTCTCTCTCTCTCTCTCTCTCTCTCTCTCTCTCTCTCTCTCTCTCTCTCTCTCTCTCTCTCTCTCTCTCTCTCTCTCTCTCTCTCTCTCTCTCTCTCTCTTCATCTCTCTCTCTCTCTCTCTCTCTCTCTCTCTCTCTCTCTCTCCTCTCTGTGGCGTGTTAAAACATCAACAAACCAAGTCAGTGTATCACGCTGACAAGAGCAAGATCGAGTGCAAGCCCGGTGCACTCTGATCTCACTTTTGGTCGCGACGGCGGTTTCAGGTACCATCGCCATCACGCTGCCAGTGCTTCGTGTGGGTCACTTGGTGGCTTGCATTCGGTGCAGTACGACTTTTGCCTCTGATCGCTTTGGTTTCATCGTTGCATGCGCTTCAGTCAGTGCGCAAACCATGAAGATCGGAGATCTTGAGCGCGCACCTGTACCTTTGATGCACGTCTATTGACGTATGTCGCTTGCCTTGCAGGCCGCACGTCGCGAGGTGATGACGCCATCTCATTTTTCTCTGTGGATACTCTTTCGCAGCCATCTTGCCCCGACCGGTGACCTCGTACTTCCAACTCTCGGGCAGTAAAGCTAATCACGTTTTCAACTCTGATCGCTCTTCACCACACGGCCGCCATGGCACGCGGCCTTCATTGTGCCGGCGTGCTCTTTCTTTTCCTCGGGTCAGCTCCGCCGTCCAGACCACGTCCCCTCGTCTGTTGGTCTGGGCAAACCCCTCCCGACTCAATCCGTTGATCCAGCATCAGAGATTAAGCTCAGACCGCCCGTGCCTGTCAATGCTCACTGGCGGCCATGCTTGCACTGCGTTCATAAAGGAGCGCAACCGCTCTCATTGAGGAAACAACGACATCCTGTCAAACTTGTGAATCCTTGGGCTGGAGCCATGAAGCCGTAAGGACGACGGTACTCGTGCTGCTCCGGGAGAACAGGAGGGGAGGGAAACAAGCCCTACCGCCTCATTCTCAGGCTCGGGCTCACCATGCTGATGCACACAGAAATACCCATCCGTGTGTGGCAACTCGATTACAACCACCGACGGGGAATGCTACCCTCCAGTGACCTACGCGGAAGCTCGACAGGCCTGTCTAGCTCAAGGCGCACGCCTTTGCGCCTTTTCCGAGCTTGAAGCGGGCGAACCTGCCGGTACAGGCTGCTTTTTTGACAACAAAAGAGTACGATCCCTTCAACTTGCCATCGTTCCAATGCTGCACCTCCCCTACGCATGCGTTCCAGCCTGTATAAATCCTCGTGTACCGACATAAACATCCCACGGTCTACACACACACACACACACACCCCTCCCATAGCTCTGGACTCGGACACCTGGCCTCCTGCCAGATGGCTCAGTCGGCTACATCACGGCTGCTGGTAAACCAGCCATGCTCGACTCAATTCCCAAGAACGTGACCGATCCCAATGAGTCCCACTATTTTAGGTCTGCTCCCGCTGCATGCTTGATCTTTCTTCGCTCCTCTTGCTCAACTCACACCAAGATCGCTATAATCTGCTGCTGAATGAACATTAGATGCTGTGCCGACGCTTCCTCGGTCACCACGCGCAGCGACCTCTCTTGCACCCAATTGCGTGCTCTTGCCCAGAACTACGGGAATCCAGCGCGGGCCGCGGTACGCATGCCAGAGAATGGCTCTTTCCTCTCATCTCCTCTCCTCTCCCCTCCTCCGTCTCATGCCCGCTTGGTATTGGCAGACGGACAATGGTTGGACTAGACAAGATCCCGATTCACAGTTTGACACCGTATGCGTTGGTGCATACATGGCATACGACAAGGATGGCTTTCTGCTTCCATCTACCGTTGTGGAAGGCGTACACCAACGCTGCTTGCGCGACCAGTCGGTCGTTGACACTGAGCGCGTATGTGTATCTAATATTCCAAGACATCGTCATTCGAGCAATCCTCATTGCCTTGCTGTTCCCCCTCTAACACGTCCTCGCCTCCCTTCCACTCTCCTTCCCCGCGCCGTACAACTCCAGGTGTGTGCTGCCAACGGCGCACGCATGTGCTTCTGGCACGAACTACGAAACAAGATGGATGCCACCGGCTGTGCCAATGAATTCAACGGGCTGGATCTAATCACCAATTCACGCTGTGACACCAACGGCAACGGCCAAGACGATGGTATGCTGCCGAGGCTTGTCTCGCCAACGGCTAGCTCGTTCGCGCTTCTCAGACATCCCAACGCTCGCCCGTATGAGTAGGCTACATCATCGTCCGATGGAACGACACTGATACGCAGTCCTGCGTCACTGACGACGTGGCGCGAGAGAATAGCTACGCCACCATGTGTTGTGGTGACGAATACTTGGAAGCACCCAAAACCTCAGTCAAATCATGCAGTGAACTGCCCAACTTTGTTGAAACACCCTACGGTCGCCTCGATGTCTGTGGGGCCAGTCAGCTAAACACCTCTAAAGTCTCATCTGGCTGCGTCAGCTCTGAGGTGAACTGGAATGCCGCTCAGCAAGCCTGCGAAGCCATCGGCGCCCGACTTTGTACCTTTAGCGAATATGTCGGGGGTGAATCGCGTGGCACAGGCTGCGGCCATGACACTCAATATGTCTGGACCAGCACGCCGTGTGGCCGCTGCTCCGAAACCAAGTATATGGCCTACCGCTTCGAGGATACCACTGACAGCGAGTGTCTTGCCGCCAACTCGGGCTCCGCTTTTGTGCGCTGCTGTGCAGATGACACCTCACGCTTTGGTCAACTGCACGGTACGTCGTGCGCTACTTGCTCTGAGCTCGGCTGGGGCTCGGGTACAGCCTCCAACGAAGTATGCTCGGATTCAGAGGTGGCTGGTGGCGTTGCGACCGACAATGCCGGCTGCATTGACCGTCCCTTGCCGTGGGATGCTGCCGAGCGTCTATGCCTGGATGTCGGAGCTCGCCTCTGCGATGCGTCTGAGCTGCGCAGTGGCGAGACGGCCGGCACCGGCTGCCAGCACGACAATAGATTCATCTGGTCGCGAACCTCCTGTGCTGTGAATGAAGCAAGCTTCTCTGCCGTCCTTGGTCGCGGCGCACAAGCCACCAGCGACACGGAGGTCTGCTTGCCCCGTGACTCCAATACCACTGCCTATGTCCGCGTAAGTATTTCTCTCCCTTCACACTCCCATCCCCCATGCTCAACAGCACCCACTGATACAGGCACCTCGCTTTCCTACAAAACGCTCTTGCTCGTCCTCAACACCCCCCTGTTCACCGTCCCTCATACGCTCGTTTTTGACGATGGCAGTGCTGTGCAGACTATGGCACCATCAAGTCAGATTTGCCCTGTGCCGCTTTGCGCTCCAACACGGCTCGCTACAACACCTTCCCTGTTCTACAACAATGGAAATCACCCGACCAAGACGTTGAGGGTGGCAAATGCACCAACTCAGAAATGCTCTTTGACGAAAATGGCGCCGCTGTTCGCAATACAAGCCTGGAGACAGACACTCGCTGCTTCTCCGGCAAGTCATACATTGATGCCGTCCGCATCTGCGCCGCCAGTGGCAGCCGTCTCTGCGGACTCAATGAAATCAGCTTTGCCAGAGGCACCGGGTGTGGCTTTGATTCTCAGATGATCGTTACTGGCTCAGCGTGTCGCATGGACAACGGTTATGGCTACTTCGCTACGAACGGCGACAACTCGGGACCGCCCATCTGTGTGGCCCAAAATGATGCAAATTATGCCGTGCGCTGCTGCGGCGATGAGATCAATCTCGGTGAATCCGCCCCTCGCTCCGAGCGTTCTTGCCAAGAGCTCGGCTGGTCTGGCACGGGTGTCGGGCGCCTATCCACCTGTGCTTCGTCGGTATCAGTCGATGGCACCTGCTTCACTGATGGCGACGACATCAACAACGCCGTGACCTTTGATGAGGCTCAGCGCATGTGTTCGGCCATCGGTGCGCGCTTGTGCACGAATTCAGAGGCGTTGGCGTCCGAGGTCAATGGCACGGGGTGCTCGGTGGACCAGACCTTCATGTGGACCAGCACTGAATGCGGTCGGTGCGGCAACACGGGCTACATGCAATACAAGGTGCACGCCAACAACGATCGAGGGGGTTCGCGCTGCCGCAACGTGTCGCCCTTGGAACGCGCGATGGTTCGGTGCTGCGCCGACGCCTCAAGCTCATCGGCCGTCTTAGTTGGCACCTCGGCCAAGACGTGTGGCGAGCTCAGCTGGAACCCCATTCCCTTCACGCCTCAGGGCAGCATCATCGGTAACTCCTCCAAGGTCTGCGGTGAGAGCAACATTCTCGACCAAGCTGGCACCCCTGCCTGTGCTGCGGACGCTGTGCCCTTTGCCGTAGCCGAGGAGTATTGTGCGGTCATTGGAGCGCGCCTCTGTGAGATTTCCGAGCTCATTGGGGACGTAACTAGATCAACTGGGTGTGGTCACGATTTCAACCGTCTGTGGTCCCGCTCTACCTGCCCCACTGGATTCTGGACGGGGCCAGGGGCAGGTGACCAACTCGACAACATTCCCCTGAAGTGCACAGCCCCAACAGAAGCAGCCTTCGTGCGCTGCTGTGCTGACGAGCTTGACATCAAGTCAGATCGTTCCTGTACCGAGCAGGTGGCCCACTACGCTTACCTTGGCGTGCGTTGGACCAATGGCGTTTCCTGGACCTCTCCCAAACAAGGCGTGTGCGCTGCCTCCCTCGTCCCCTTTAACGGAAGTGGTGCTTTTCTTCCTGCAACAGTGGATGCTCGCTGTCAGCGGCCCACCTCGGTTCCAGATGCCATCCGCGCCTGCGCCATGACTGGTGCTCGCCTCTGCACTCGCAGTGAGGTTTTGACCAGCACGTACGTATGCCTTGCTCCGCATGCGTATTTGGCCGCTTGTGGCGTTGCTGCTCAACCCTTTTGTGTTCCTTCATCACGTGTATGAGAACTTATACATTGATTTTGCCTCCCCGCCTTGCTTCCTCCATGTGTAGAAGGAGTTCCGGGTGTGGCTACGACGCAGAGAGCTTCATTCTGTCGGCAACGTACTGTACTACGAGCGACGGCCAACCTGGCCACCGCGCCGTGCGCCCTTACAACGGTGCCAACTTTTGCGTGCCCAGCACAGGGCCCATTGAGGCAGAGCAGCCGCTCGGCTTGCGATGCTGCGCGGATGAAGAGACTGAGCCAGTCGAGCCCTCTGCGCTGAGCTGCCATCAATTGGGCTGGCAGGCTACGGATACGCTGCGCCATGTGTGCAGTACAGGCCAAAGCCGCGACTCCCAGTGCCTGGGCGCACGCAATTATTACGATGCAGAAGCCTATTGCCGACGCATCGGGGGGCGCATGTGCACCATGGAGGAGCACGTTCTCGGTGTTACCCAGGGCACCACCTGCAATAACCAGTTCCTCTGGTCTACGCAAAGCTGCGGTCGCGGCACGGGCGACTTTTCTACCATGTACAATCCTGCGACGGGTGAAACGGAATGCATCAATCGCTTTTGGCGTCGCAAATTTCGCTGCTGTGCCGACGATCTCAGCTCGACCACAGCCTTGACGGCTGCATCATGTCGGACGTGCGGAGAATTGGGCTTTATGGACTTTTTGGGAACAGAGGCCAAGGGCTCAATTGATGTCTGTGCCTCCAGTATGATCCTGGGCTCTTTGGACGGCAGCCCCCGCGCTTGTAGTAACGAGAATGTGGCATTTGACACTGCTCTGCAGGTTTGTGCTAGCATTGGCGCTCGGCTATGCTCGGTTGAAGAAGTGTGGAACAATGAGCTCCACGGCGCAACGTGCGACGACGAGGACTCGGTCAATGTTTGGACGCGGAGTGCTGGTGGCTGCAGCGACGGTGAATTTATTGTCACGGAATCAGCCTATGCTGGCGTGGACACCCCAAGTTGGACCTGTGCCCCCAAGACGCAGCTCGCAGCCAAGGTCCGCTGCTGCGGCGACGAGGGCAAGCTGCCGTCGGATCTCTCGTGCAGTCAGCACATTCGTGTTGCCGCCAACCTTGGCCAGCGAAACCAGAAGGATAACATCAACGGATGGTCCTCGCCGGCTCGCACCAACTTGGGCATTTGCGCTGCCTCGCACATCCCTTATGACGTCAATGGCAATCTCATTGCCAACGTTGACGACCGCTGCCAGCATGCGACCCTCGACGAGGCCCAAAGCCTCTGCGCTATGATTGGTGCTCGCGTGTGCACGGTGAACGAACATGCCCTGTTTGGCTGGGACACGGGCTGTGGCTTTGATTACATTGACAAAGCATCGTCGTCGACGTGCTTTGTATCAAACAACCACTCACGCCCCGGCTACCTGGTGGTACCAGACATCAACACACTTGACACCAACCCACCATACTGTGCGAGTGCGGACCCCACCGTGAATAATCGCACCTTTGCCGTACGCTGTTGCGCGGATGAGGAGGTGCCGCACATCGAGCGTTCTCAGCGCTCTTGCCAGGACATTGGCTTCAAATCGTCCGTCGGATCAGTTGTGCGCCCCGGGGTGTGTGGGGATTCCGAAATCGAGGAATCGCCGGCGGGCAGCGGCACGTATCAATGTCCGGCTGTCTCGGCTGCCAATTACACTACCGCTGATGCCATGTGCAAGGCCATTGGTGCCCGTTTGTGTACGTTTGGGGAATTGGCGTCCGGCGTGAGCAGGGGCTCCGGCTGCGGGCACGACAACGCATGGACCTGGAGCTCGACTGCTTGCAGCAGTTGTGGCTACAATCGCCACTTGGCACATCGCTGGAACGATGTCGGTACAACCTACGGTGCGCGCCATTGCCTGAGCGATAGCGATCAAGGCGGCATCCGTTGCTGTGCCGACGAGGAAGACGTTATTGAACTGGACAACACCGATACCTCCTGTAGCTCTTGTGAGGATCTAAGTGCGCAATTTGATGACACAGCAGCCTGGAGCCCCGTGTGCGGCGCATTTGACGTCGGAGTAAATCGAACGTGCCCTGTGGCCAATGCATTTTTTGAGCAGGCTGCTGCAGCTTGCCGCGCCATGGGCGCGCGTTTATGCGGCATCGGGGAGATCGAGGGAGGGCGCTTCAACAACTCTGCTTTGACAAATGCGGAGTGTGCGCTTGACAGCCCGGTGTGGTCGCGCACGTCGTGTGGCTTTGCCGCTGCTTATGTCACCGTGCCCGGTGCGGCTGATAGCTCGGCCCGAGAGTGCCGAAACGTCACTGCAGGTCGCGCATCCTACGTGTGCTGTGCAGACAGCGATTCCGTAGTCAAGTCAGACTGGTCCTGTGCCGAACACATGTCCGCCATCCAAAACCTAGTGAATACTCGAGACGTCAACGGCTGGCGCCAATCACCTGCCGACGCGCCCGTGTGTGCAGCATCGGAGCTGGCTTACAACGTTAGCGGAGAGCTGGAGAGTGATCCCGCAAAGCGCTGCCACTCGAACGTGACGCAAGGCGAGGCTGAATACATTTGCACAATCAATCATGCGCGGCTCTGTACTTTGCAGGAGACAAAGCAGGTCGCTATCGGTACTGGCTGCTTCTTTGATGCCGTGTATGTCTGGACCAGCGAGCCCTGCACCACAAGTGAAGGCGAAGCAGGATTTTGGCTGTTCAACCGAAATACAGATGAGACAAAAACGATGTGCCGCGTCCCCGATGTACATCGCGCGGATCAGGGCGTGCGCTGCTGTGCCGACGACGTTGTTCCAGAGCGTCCCGTGTCAGAACTGAGCTGCAGCAACCTCGGCTTTACCTTCACCGAGTCCTTCATGACCACAGAGGTTTGCGGTCTGTCCCAAGTCAAGGCAGACGGCACGTGCGTGGGGAAGGAGGTGTCCTTTGGTGCCGCCAAGGATTATTGTGAGTCCATTGGTGCACGCCTTTGTACCTTTTCTGAATACGTCGGTGGCGTGTCCGCGGATACCGGCTGCCTGCACAACGCCAGGCAAGTGTGGACTTCCAGCGAGTGCGGTCGATGCGGCAAGGAAAGCTACCGCACTTTCCGCTATGATAACAAGCAGGAGGACTGCCGCAGTATTTCGACCCAAACGGCTGCCGTCCGCTGCTGCGCCGATGCCATTCGAGCCCAAGACGTCTTTACCACGACATCGTGCAAAACATGTTCGCAGCTCGGTTGGCCTTCAGGTTGGGCATCGTCGGCTGTTTGTGCCGACTCGAAGATTCTTGTCAGTGGGTCCACCAGTCAGTGCCTGTACCGTGCCGTCGATTTTCAGGTTCGTGTGGGCCAGCTTGCTCGCTTCTTGCTCTTTTATCTGCTCATGCAAAAGGCGGTTGCATCCCAAGGCGATGAACAAGCCAGGTCAAGTATCGAGAAGCGCGATGGGTTTTGCTCACACCAGTTTTGCCTGTGACCCCTCCATGCGCGCGCACACACGCACCCCAATTCTGCTAAATTCATCAAACCCAGGCGGCACAACGCATCTGCCTGAGTGTGGGAGCACGATTGTGTGATTACCAGGAGGTCCTGAGAAAAGAAACGGTCTCGACCGGATGTGAGCACGACTGGCGCGAAATTTGGACGCGGACAGCCTGTGACTCGGGCAGTTTTTGGTCTGTGTTAGGCAACACGGACCATGGGAACAATATCACTTGTCGCGCGGCCACGGACATGGCCTTTGTGCGTTGCTGTGCTGATGAGCGCGTCGCCTTTCCTTCAGACAAATCATGTGAGGTCTTGCGCAATGAGGGCCAGGGCCAGTTTAACTTCCTGAATTCCTTCAAAGGTGGCTGGACCTTGGCCGACGACGAGCAAGACCTGGTTTGTGCTGCATCACAGTTGCCGTATGACATGTCTGGCACTCCTCTGCCGCAAGGCGATGCGCGGTGCAATACCAACGTGACGTTTGCTCAAGCCACAGCCACGTGTCTGGTGAACGGTGGTCGGCTATGCACGCGGCATGAGCTGGCTACCCAAGCCATGGACACGGGCTGCAACTTCAATTCGGTCCCCGTCATCTCGGGCTCCTACTGCCAAACGGCGGATGGTTCGCAAGGATACTGGGCTCTCACGCATAATTCAGACACATGGAACTGCAAGGCTTTTGAGGAAGGCGCTGCTCTGCGCTGCTGTGCTGGTAAGCTTCGTTTTGCTTTACTATGTTTTTAGCTGTTTGATGGGGAACAAGGCTGAAAGGAAAAGAGAACAGACCAAGACAATTCGATGGCAGCGAATCCTGGCCAGGGAGGTTTTTACCCCAAGGCGCCCCCACCTCACACGCCCCTCAAACACAGATGAGACTGCAGTGGAGCCATGGCCTTCTCGCTCTTCATGTTCCGAGTTGGACTGGAGTCCGGGCCGGGCTGGCAACGTTGGTGTGTGTGCCAGTGGCCTTGTGGGTCCCAACAGCACCTTCCTGCCCGATCCGATCTCATATGACGAGGCCTATGCCACTTGCGATGCCCTTGGCGCGCGGCTGTGCACGGCCAGCGAGTTGGCAGCCGGCATTGGTGCTGGCACAGGTACGACACTGCATATCGTGCAACACTTTGACTTGGTAACAATGCTTATTCTTTGTGCAATCTTCTCGCAATCGTTGCGGTGCGCCGCGGTCAGGGGGTGGGTTCGATTCTGGATACGTGTGGTCGTCGTCCGATTGCAGCACGTGTGGCTCGGAAAGTCGCGTGGGAATCAAATATGGCCCTCTGTTTGAGCAAGGCCATGTTGATGCGCAATGCCGTGATATCGTGACCATGAAGGGCCGTGTTCGGTGCGAGCTTGCTCTTCCCTATCTATTTGCACCAGAGCCTGAAGCGATGACCAGACGCACTCATTCCCGCTGCGTTGTTTGTAATCCTTTAGTTGCTGTGCTGATGTGCGACAATACGAGGCAGCCCTCACGAGCACGTCTTGCAAGACTTGCGACGAGCTTGGTCTGGCCCCTGGCCCTGGTGCCCCCAATGTTTGCGCCACGGCCAATGTTGTGGGTGGAGCGACTGCAGACGACGGCAACTGTGCGGCCGTTGCTTTGACGTTTCGCCAGGCGGAACAAGTCTGCTCAGATGCTGGGGCTCGCTTGTGCACTCTTGCGTAAGTTTGCAAATGTGATCCTCTTCTTGTCTCTCGCAGCACGTATTTGATCTCACATGATACCACCCTGCTCTGGATATGGCGTGGACCCCGTTGTGGTTATGACAGGGAATCAGATACAGAGCTAGAGGCGGCACCATGTGCTCCTAACAGTGACTTTTATACATGGACACGCACCCCGTGTGCTGGTGGCTTTTATCAAGTGCCCAAGCAGGGCCACTCATCCGCCGTCTCCCCCCGTTGTGCCGCCACCAGCGCGCAGTCCCATGTGCGTTGCTGCGCCGATGACGTGACAGTGCGCTCTGATGCCACGTGCGCGCAGCTGCGCACTGCTGCCGCAACCAGACGCAACCCCGACCTGACTGGCTTTACACAAGGCTGGAGCAATGCTGCAAACAACGTGACCGCGGCCGGTAGCGTTTGTTTGTCCCCTTATGTTCACTGGACGCTAAACGCTGAGGAGCGGGCCCCCACCCAGCGCGTGCTGACTGCAACGTCACCTGACCAAGCCGACCGCCTGTGCGCGACCATTGGTGCACGTCTCTGTCCAAGATGGATGATTGATGCCTTTGCCGTCCCCGACGACCCTCTGGCTGACAGCTACATCACACTTGCAGGCCGGTGTTTGACAGAGCGAGGCAGTGAAGGCTACGTTGTCTACAACCCCAGCCGTCAAAATTCCATGTATGAATTCCGCCCGTGATCCTTGACCCTGAATCGCACAATTGGAAAGCAACTCATGCGTGTCTTGTGTGCGGCCGACTTGGCTTGGCATGCACTTTGGGATGCCTTCGCGTCCATAGGTGTGCTGAATCCAACAACGCCTCATATGCTGTCCGTTGCTGCGCCGACGAAGCGGACCCTGCCCTCACCAAGGAAGTGTCACTACAAACGTGTGCCGCCCTGGGGTGGTCAGAAAACGGCTTTGGCACTTTTTCAGTGTGCGGGGCTTCAGAAGTCGACGACGGCGAGTGCGTCAATGGTGACGTGTTTTTTAATTCTGCCCATGACCACTGTCGCGCGGCCGGTGCGCGCCTGTGCTCGTACTCTGAGCTCGTGCGTGGCGAAGCCATGGACACCGGTTGTGAGCACAACTTTGCCGCCGTGTGGTCGTCCACCCGGTGCGACCGCTGCGGAGTGGAAGCTTTCCTCGTGCACTCGCATGTCGGTGGCCCCCATGGTACGTCAGAGTGTCTGCCAACTTTTTTTAGCGCACGAGTCCGATGCTGCGCCGATGTGGAGCTTGTACCACCAGCTTCCACAACCATGGGTTCGACCACAACGACTACTACCACCAAAGTGACTACTACCACCACCACCACTACCACCACCACCACTGTCTCCAAGACGCAGCAGGCCACGACCACCGATCTATCGTCTTTTGGGGCTGTTGCTTTTACAGGCACCACGGCCAACGACTGGCGCACCAGTGACTTTCCAGATACCCTGACGGCAATCGTCAACCAGGTCATTGATGCGCGAGTTGACCCGCTCCAAAGCTCGGATGTGGTCGTCACGGATCTCTTCAGTGCCAACCCGACGTCGGTACGGGTACGCTTTGTGGTCACACCACAGAGCTCGGCTCTCGCAGCTCAAGCAGTCTACGCTGCAATTCAGGATGTGCGTCAGAGTGGCGCGCTGGCCGATGCTTTGGCTCAGAGACTGGACTCGCCTATGGTCCAGGACGGTGCCATCACAAGCGACAGTTTCACCCCCTGCCAACAGTGCACCGCCGCTTCCACGCAAACACAGTTCGATGCCGCCTACGACGCGTATCGCAACTCAGTCACCACAACGACGACGACGACCACAACGACGACCACAACGACAACGACGACAGCATCAGCGTCAACTGCCTCCTCGTCGACCACGACAATGCCTACAACCACCACTACCACAACGACAACCACTACAACAACAACAACCACCACCACCACCACTACTACTACTACTACTACTACTACTACTACTACTACTACTACTACTACTACTACTACTACTACTACTACTACTACTACTACAACTACAACGCCCTATCCCACCGAAGCCAATTTGCATATGCAGGCCACTACGCATGTGCATTTTTCATTTGGCGGAATCAACCCCTCAGATCTGCGGCCTCGGGACATGCATTCAGCCGTTTCACAGGCGCTCAATGTGCGCTTGAATGCCACCACCAACCCGGTCACGCCCGCCGCGATCAGAGTGCTAGCCATGCAACAAGGCTCGATCTTGGTCAACTTTAGTGTCACACCTTCAACATTGGCGGCACAAGCTGTGTATGCCGCACTGCTCGATGTGCGCAACACTGGTGCACTGAGCCAAGTTCTGACCATTATTGCTGGAGCGTCTGTAACTGACATCCGCCAAAACGAAGACTTGGTAACCCCATGCGCTGCCTGCAAGGCGTTTGGTGCCGACGCGTCAGCAGCCGACTACGAAGCTGCCATTGCAGAATACCGCCAGGCCGTGGCCGGCAGTGGTGGGGCTACGACTCGATCGCCGACAACTGGGGTCGGCACCGGCGAAAGTACTGGTGCGGGTGGCTCTTCTGGTGACAACACTGCCATTATTGTCGGGGTGGCTGTTGCTGCGATTGTGGTCGTAGCTGCAGTTGCTGCCTTTTTGGTGGTCCGTGCCCGTCGCAACGCTGCCAAACACCCGGGCGTAGTTGCATACAAGGCAGGTGGGGGACGCGAGGGCACGGTTGCTTTCGAGAACCCCCTGTACGAGACCAGCGTAGAACATGAGACCAAGGAGAATCCGCTGTATGACGAAGACCCGTTTGATCGCTACGATGACAACCCTGACTACATGGACCTGCCGCATAACCAAGCTGGCACCTTTGAAGAGCCCTCCTTTGAGGATGGCTACTTGGAAACAGAGCAAGGGGATGCTGCTGGCGGCTATCTGGACGTTGGCGATCGTTCAGATGAAGCGGGATACTTGGATTTTGAAGATCAAGAGCACGAGTAAATTGGCCTATTCATGCCACGCCATGCCACGCCACTCTTTCTTCTTTTCTCTCTGCCGGCGACCTGTCATGTGTTGCTTCAGCTGGCTGCGACCTGTATCTGTGTGCGAAATTGGAACCGAGTCCTGTTGTTTGTTGGTTGTTGTTATGATTGTTCCTCTTCTTTCTTTCTTTCTTTCTTTCTTTCTTTCTTTTTTTTTTTTTTTTTTTTTCTTTCCATAGAAGTCCTTTCTTTTGAGCTGGCACGCTCATCGTCGGGTTGTTCACATGTGTGCATATGAGAGTCGCGACCAGGTGCAGTGTGGACTTGTAGACAATCATGTATTACCAGTCGGCCCCTGACCAAGCTCTCAAATTTACCAAGTTGACGTCAACCGATGGTGGGGTCGCTGATTGGCTGGATGCGAGAGAGATTAAATTTTGAGAAATGAACCATTTTTAGGGATACAATTTTGTTAAGGTTTCGCAGGCAGGAAAGGGTTGGCTGAGATGGATGAAGAACTTGCACGGGCAAGGCACTAATCCACATGCATCTCGGCAGCGGCCGCTCTGGTGCGTTGACAGCTAACGACAACTTAAACGAGCAAAGGGAAGAAGGGAGCTAAACGCACAACGCACAATAAAACCCAAATGTTTGGGTTTGCGGGTAAAAGGACCCAGACGTGCAAACGGCAATACCAGTTCAACAAGCCGCAATATCAGCTTGTTGGCAGGCACCAGCAAAGACACGAGAAAAGAGAACAAGTAGACTGCCGTCAAGGCGGTAAACACAAAACGCCGGTGCATGGTAGCCCACAGGGCCGAGTGTGCGAAGTTAGTTGAAGAAGGCACGGGTGCCCTGCTCGCCAAAGAGGTGGAGACGGAGAGCAGGCATGAGCTGCTGGACGGCAAGCTCAAGGCGACGCTTCAAGGTGTTGGTGACGCGGATGCGGTCCGTCACCGCCACTTCGACACCACCGCCGCATTCCTCATCGAGGCAGTGCTCCTCGTCAACGGTCAGCTTGACATCGATGCCCGTCTTGTCCTTCACCGCCTTCTTGGCGCCGTTGATGACCTCCTGCATGTCCGCAAGGTAACAAAAAACCCAAAGAGCATGGTCAAATGAGCAAAGGTAATTTTAGAGAAACATCAGCCAGATGGCGGGAAAAATCAAGGATACGGCTTTTGGCTCTCGGCATCAGTTACAGTTGAAAACAACCCTCTCAGGTAATCAAGCGAATTTTTTTCGTCACAGAACCAAAAGCCATTCCATGTGTTTATGTTTGTTGGGGCCATGAATGCAGGGTCGTGTTCAGTGGTACGCGCATGTAAAATGCCAGAATCGATACATACCTTGATCAGACTGATATCTTGCTTGCGAACGCGAACAGTGGCTTCGGGCTCTAGCAGCTGGCACAAGCACTAAAAAAAGTCAAGGTGTCGCAAAGGACGAATGAGTTTTAGCCTGAAGAGCCTGAAAAGCATGAAGAGCATGAAGAGAGCAAACTATTCAGGGTTTGAGCCCGCACCTGAGTGAGCAGATCCTGCAGGAGAGTCTTGTACTTGGCCTTGTCCTTGGTGATGTCGGAAATATCCTTGGTGGCCTGCTCGGTGACCGACTGCAAAGAACAGCCAGAGTTTGATAAACATGAGCAACCCAAACGGCAAAAAGAGGGCATTGAAACCCAGACACGGCTGACTCGATTGTGAGGGCATGATGGTGCCAACCAACCTTGAGGGCCTCCTCCTGTGCCTTGAGCACCTCAAGACGAGCGACGTTGAGCTTGTTGGAGTACTCGCTACAGAAACGGGTAGAGGGCCAACGGCACGCGGATGAGCGCGGCTGAGCAACTGGACAAGCTCAAATAGGAGGACAAGAAGGGCAAGATGACTGACATTTTTTGCTGGGTCTCGACCTGCTTGGCACGGCGCTCGAGCTGCTGGTTAATCTTAATGGTCTCCTCCTGAACGAGGCGAGCCTTCTCAATGTTGAACTCTTCCTCAGCCTGGCCACAAGCAATGGCAGGAATTGCGGCACGCAAGTGAAGATGCAGCTCGGCGCGTCCCTCGCTCGGTGTGGTCGCGCCCTCTCCTCCATATTTATTCTCCACGAGAATGTTTTCATGCCTTCATGCCTTCACACACACGCACGCACACACACACACACCTTTGCCCTGATCTCCTCAACCTTCTCGCGCGCCTCTGACTCGATGAAAGCGACCATCTGCTTAATCTGTATGAGTGATGCGAGAAACAACCATTCGAGTGAGCAAGTCGACGGCAGTCCATGCAATCCCATGGCACATAGCACAAATTCATGAATAGGAAACAGCCCTGGCCCACCACCCCCCCTTTCACGTCAAGACGCCTCGAAGACCGTCGACCCTGCCGGCGCCAAGTCTTCTTTTGTTCTTCCTTCCATTCCCAACTAGCTGTGAAAGGCCGTGTCGGAGGCGGCCATCCACAGACGACCCTTCCAAAAACACACACACGCGCGCGCACACAGAGCAGGGCCTGGCTGCCATTCCAACCAGCAAGCATACCTGCTCGCTGACTTGCTGATCGTCCAACGCCATCTTGCCGGTCGTGTGTTTGTGGAGGGGAGCCGCCGCAAACGCAATGGGAAATGCCTCAACACCACCTGCTGAATGTGTGTGTGTGTGTGTGTGTGTGTGTGTGTGTGTGTGTGTGTGTGGAGTAGAGTGTCGAGGTCCAGCTTTGCTCCAAATCCTCTATATCACACCCACGCCTTGATACCACTGAACTGGTGTGCGTTTCTCCAGTCTCTCTTATCACTCTCTCTTGATCAATCTCTCCCTCTCTCTCATTCTCTCTCTCTCTTCTCTCTCTCTCTTCTCTCTTCCTTTGAGTGACAAACAAAAGATCCTGCTCCAAGAGCTTGCAGTTGAAGCTCGGAGCGAAACAACACGTTTAAACCCCCGTTGTAATCCCACATCGCTTTCAAGCAAACTTAACATGTGTCAAGGTGTGACAAGACAGCCCGCGCTAAGTTTTGTCTGACAAACCACGTGCTCATCCACAACATCAAACAAAAGAATTCTCTTTCTCTCTGTATATGTGTGTGTGTGTGTGTGCGTAGAGTCTGACATCGCCTTGAGCACATGCACCAGACACACACATGTCATGCAGTCTCGCTCTCGCCGTCTGTGTGGCTGTGTGTGTGTGTGTGTTGGTGCGCTCGCTCTTGGACTCGTCCCAGCCAGCCAGCAGACGTCGTCGGCGCTCGCGACCGGTCGAGGCGTTGTCTTGTTCTTTTTTGTGTGTCTGGTCGCTCGTTGCTTGTGTCTCCTTTTTCTTGTCCTTCGGCTTGCGTGCACACGGCTACGTGACGCAGGCGGCAATGGCCATGATCATGCCTGCGACCGAGAATCAAGAGGCCATGGCCTCGGGGTCGCGTGAGCTCATGAGCTGCTTCTGGGACTTGGCTGACCTGGCCGTCAGCACCCGTCTCAATGCTGCCGCCCGCCTCTTGGCCATCCTCGTGGACAGGTTGGAACCTCGTTCGCGCTTGAGCAGTGCTATCGCATGACTCGTTCAAGACTGCCATTGCTCACCCTGCTCGCGCTCCGTCGACCTCGTCACAGCCAAAAGGGTCTCGCGGCCGCTTCCGACGGTCCCGACGCCCAAACTGCAGATGATGAGACTGAATCCATCTTTGCTGGCCCCGCCATCAGCGAGGACCTGCGTTACAGCCTCAAGCGTCTCATTCGCGGCCTGGCCTCCTCCCGAAAGGGTGCTCGCCAAGGCTTTGCGGCAGCCCTTCACATCCTGCTCCAACAGTTTGCCGACATTGTCCGCCCCCAGGATATTCTCTCCCTCCTGCAGCAGACTTCGACCATTTCCGGTGGTATGAAGGGCAACGAGCAGCGCGATCATTTCTTTGGCCGCCTCTTCGGCCTCACCATCCTGGTAAGATCAACAACATGGCAAGCTTCGTGCCTCGTTTTGCGCCCTTCCGCTGGCTTGACCATAGTATCCAACCCAAAGCTCCCGTGCCTCACGCAACTCCCCCACGTAACTCCCCCACTCCCTTTCTTGGCTACCCGGCCTCGCCACTCCCGGGTCTTTCCGACTGGCCAGGCGGATGTTGTGGCTGAAGGTCGCTTTGGTGATGCCGTCGACCCCGAGTTGCACAGCGCCATCTATCAGCAACTCTTGGAGCTCGCCACATCAAAGAGCTATCTTGAAGCTGGCGCTGTCCATGCCTGCTGCCGCCTCTTGCCTTCGGTGCGCCCTCGATCACCAACGCAACACCCATGCCCCTCCCGTTCGTCAAATGTCTGATTCGACCCCTCGTTTCATTGTCGGGAAATAATGGCCCGCCCCACTCAGGTCAAGAAGTCAACCCTGGAGTCCCTTCTATTGCCGCAGCTGGATGCCTTTGCACAACCCCAGGAGAAAGATCACGCTTCCCCGCTTGTTGTGGCCCAACTCTTGGCCTTGGCCCCCCTCTTACGCGCCAAGAAGAAGAATGCCGCTCTCAAGCTTCCTGAACACCTTGCTGCCCTTTGGGCCGATGGCAAGCTATTTGCAGATTGGCAGCAACTTACTGATGTTCTGCTCGCCACGGCCCCAGAGCACCCCATGATTCAATACTTGGCTGCTCTGTTGGCTGTCCAGGACAACGCCCACCTCCGTGAGGCCTGGAAGGCGCTGATCGAGACAGGCGCTTTTGAACCTGATACTTCCAGCCCCCAGCGCAAAGCAACCGGCTTTGCCCTCTTTTCTGCCCTCGTTGACCGCGCCACGCTCCAGCAGGTTGGATGCCTTCGACAGACACTCACATTATCGAGCTCCCTTGTAGCGAAAAGTGTGGCGAATGCTCAAACCCCCCCCCCCCCCCCCCCA